CTGGGTGATGATGGGGGGAATTGGTGAAGGAGAGGCCTCCTTATATATTCTTTTCTGAGTTATTTTTGCTGGTGGGGATGCAGTTGAGGTGATTTTGCTGGTGGTGACCTTGTGGGTTGCACTGCCTCCTGCAAAGAGTACATGCATTGAGCTAATTATGCTGTGGAAATAACTAAAAATGGTACTACTGTATGTAAGGATTGCATAAATGGTTGCGCTGCCTGGTGGAGGTTTTTCTGTCCACATGCATTTATGCAAAGTCTGCGTAAATTCAATTAAGTAACTAAGTGGAGGCCTAATGGTTGCACATATGCATGCAAGAATTGCATAAATGGTCTGCACTACTGGTGGAGGCCTGCTGATGTAATAATTTATGTGTATGTACTTATATATATGTGGTAAAATACTATTAAATACTAATTAATGACTAGTTATGGTATGGCTTTAACCTTTATATTGGATTATCTTCTAAACTAATAGAGATAGAGGTATAGTTGTAGTGAGTGACTATGGGTAAAATTGTATGCAGATTCTGATTATGCAATAATATATTCATATATGTAAGTAGTTTAGGTTGTAAGGTAGGGGTTTTGGCAGTTTTGTTGCGCACAACAGCCTGGACCACCACATCCCCCCCCAAATTAATGCTGTCCGCAGCATTCCTGGTGTAAGCAAGAAAACTGCCCCAAGCCTCTAGTTGACTAATTTTAATTCATTAATATGTATTGATTTGTAACTGATATCCTACTGATTCTCCTTTTCTTCATGACTTGGTCCTTCTGTTCATCTGATTGGGTTTCCACTTTGATTGAGTTTGCGCCGTCCAGGTTTTTCTTCATTGTAACTGATTTCTTCCTCTTATTCCCAAATTATAATATACGTTTGTCCTTGTTATTCTCCTCGTCTCGTTCTCCGCCTGCCACGTCCAAATCAAAGGCTCCAAATACGACTCTCTTTCATTCTATTTCATGGGTATTAGTCCAAAGAAAAGGCTGGTGGTTGATGTATTTGAAGGCTGTTCCAAAAAGAAAGGTCTCCAACCGCTGAGTCGAATGGGCTTTTGAATACACGTTCAATTCACCGTCCCCCCGGAAGGATTCCTTAACTATTTCTTCCACATTTTCATTCTATTTTTCCTTCACATCGATAATCTCTATTCAAGTCGAAACTATATTACTATTTAGTATAATTGGTTGATCTGCTATCTTCTGAACTTTCTTCCTGTTTTAGTTTTTAATCTCTCTCTGTGTTATTCCAATAAATAAAGCCTCCAGTCCTTGTTATTTAAAAAATTTGTTTCCGTATAGTATCCGTTATTCTTCTCTTCAATCAATGGCCTAAAATTCGCCTTCTACTGACTCGTTGCTGTCTTCGTTACTTTCTCCAAAGGCGGCTTCTTCTTCCCCCCCACTTTCATTATTACTACTATTACTACTTGTCTCTTCCTCTGATTCGTCGTCTTCTTCCTCTTCCAATTCTTCTTCTGTAAGGTGTCCAATTCACATAGTCCTGTCCCTGCATCAATAATGATAATCCATTTCCTGCCGTGTTTTGATTTTGTGTTTTGGCCCTGCCACTTGATTGATTTTTCCTATCCAAATTAGATTACAGTTTTAAGTCATGTAGGACCTCCCATTGATAATGGGACCTTGATTTATCTTGAGGGTTTGCAGTTTAAGGTCTTACAGGACCTCTTTTGGTTTTAATTTTGCAGTTTAAGGTCATACAGGACCTCTTTTGGTTTTAGTTTTGCAGTTTAAGGTCATACAGGACCTCTTTTAGTTTTAATTTTGCAGTTTAAGGTCATACAGGACCTCTTTTAGTTTTAATTTTGCAGTTTAAGGTCATACAGGACCTAGACTCCCAGTCCTTCCTTCTTCTTCTTCTTCTTTTTTTTTTTTTTTTTTTTTTTTTTTGCTGGAGCCTGGCTTTCCCATTGTTCTTCAACTTTTCTGATGCTCCAATGTAAAGCTGTACTTGTGTTGTTGTACTGAGTTATAGGGCTGGTGCTTTGGTGGTGGTTGTCTTGGTTGTCCAAAGGTTCTGCTGCAATTGGCCAGCCTGTGCAGTGTCACAAAATTGGTGACACTCGCTCCGCCCGGTCACACAAAAAAAACCCGACAGGTCTGGGGTTACATGTACTCATCGGCCGTTCAGACTCCGATGCTGCAATCGATGCCGAGAACCCTCGTCGACTTGCAACGGTACTCTCATTCGATCCATCGATGCCGGTAAGTTGTCTCTTCTCTTTTCTTCCATGTAGTTTTCTGCAGCAGATCTAACCGTATCTGCCTCCTCATTTTTTTTTTTGCATATTCCACTGCAGCCGGCCGCTTATCCAAACCCTTAGCCCTTTTGACGCCTTTGTCGATCGGTCGGTTTGCTTTGGTTTTCTCTCCCCCGACCGTTATGTGTCTCCTTTCGATTGACGCCTAGCTCCGCCAAGATTTCTCGCCGGCTTCCAACGGTACCTCCTTCGGATCCATCACTCGTAAGTTCTCTTCATCGCATGATACCTCCACCGCATCCGCCAAGCTTGCTGCATCATTGCTCTACCTGCAACCTTCCTCACCGACTGCTAACCGCTCCGGTTTTCGCGCCGCGGCCTAGCCGATTCGATTTTTACCACATCCGATGATCAGGCGGTGCCTCCACCTCGCAGCCTTAGTTAAAAAACCGTCGCCGTTCTTGTTTGGATTCCTTGGTTATGTGACACAATCGTGATCGAAGACTCGCCGGGTCGGACGCAAGCTGTCTTCTCTCCTCCGCCCGTTATGTAACTCCTCTCAATCGACGCCATTACCCCTTTCAATGTCCTTGCTATGTAGTTAGAACCAAATTCCTTCGGATCCGCCAAGCTCCTCCGACAAAGTATTGCCGCCGCGTATACGCGCCGTGCCTCCACCTCTTGTCGTCAACTGTTTAGATGCAGGCTCCTTTTCCCTATCCTCCACTCGCCCGACAAGCACAGCAGCGCGATGCCTCCCTTTGTGGTCGATCATCGTCCTCAATCCTCGAAGCTCCTCCCCTCGATCTCGAATATAAATAGGTCCTATCTCGTCACGGGTTCCTCTTCGTCCATCGCTTTGATGATACGGCATACCGCCTCCACTCCTATCAATCGTTATCCTTTGGACGACCGGTTGTCTACTTTTGTGCAGCTCCGCATCCTTTCCCCTCTTCGTCCTCGTCCATAAAAGGACGACCATCGATAGCTGTAAGTCGTTTCTTAACCCTCCTTCGTTCATCGACCAGAGTTGTAGTACAACCAATCATGGCTGACAACTCGTCTCCACTTGCCCCCTACTCTACTGGCCAGGAGATTATTCTAATCTCATCCGATACTGACTTCACTTCTTATCATATAATTTTTATGGGTCCATCGGACAAATCTGATCTTGACACAGATGATTCTGCCAGCGATGTCGAGTAAGTCGTTCCGTCTTCTATCTACGCAGCCGAGTATAGCCAGGCCTGATCGATTGTTATATTCAATGTTTCTAGTGGATGTGACCTCTGCTGCACCCCCTCCTAACCGTATTGCGACGGACGATGAACTCTGAGCGTTGGAGTGAGAAGTCTTTAGCTACGACTCTTCCGTAGACGATTCCGGGTACACTACTGATACCGACGCTGATGCTGACTCTGAGATGTCTGATATCCCAGGTAAGCTTTTTATTCCTTCCCTTCTCCTCAAGACAAAGGCTGATAGGCCTATCTCAGTCGTTGCTGCGACCGTTTTCCGCACTCCGTCCCCGTTACTAGCTCCCCCAATTCCTCACAGCCCTCGCAACTTTCCACTCCACGAAATCCGTGACCTAGATGTCGATGTGATTCTCGATCCTCGACTTCGATACAACCCTTTCAGATTCTTTCCTGTTCACACCTTGCCAGTGACTCCTCCAGCCAATCCGCCGTCTCTTCCGCGCCGAATGTTCGAGTCGGTATTCATAGACCTGGTCGATCGATTAAGGCATCTCCTTGCCATGCTCAGTGCTGGGCAGCCTATTTATCATCAACTTGATGTTGTTGAGTTTACCCTCAACTCTGTCTGTGACTGGTTCTATGTATACCAGGCTTTCGAGTAAGAATTTTTTTTTTTTTTTTTTCCTTTGTGTGTTGTATGTATAACTGACGAGATTTTTTTTTTTTTTTTTTTTTTTTTTTTTGTATATAGGACTGGTGTTGATAATTGAACCTGGCCTGAGTGTATCCCTTTTTCTTGTTTCTTTTACTATCATGTTCTTTAGAGTAAAAAAATCAAAATGAAGAAAAAAATCCAAAAACCTTTTAAAAGCCAAAAAAAAAAAAAAAAAAACTCTTTCTTCATCCCAGCCATGTATTTGTATCTAGATCTGCTACCTTGTGTGTATGCTTTTTTTTTTTTTTTTTTTTTTTTTTTTTTTGCAATACACCCTGCTCCATGACCCAAAAAAATTGTTATTAATACACCACTGAAGAATGTGAAAAATTAATTTGTAAGTGAGATAGTTTTTCAAATGAAAAACTGGTAGCCTCCAAAGCTGGCATTCCTTATGCTTTTAGCTTTGTAGCTTCTTGATATGTGCTTTTTGTACCACTTCTTTGCTCCACCTCCGTACAACCGCCGCCTAATAGCAATGCTGACTGGTCCATATCTTGAGTTCCAGGTTCCATATCGTAGAAAACTGTCTGCCGCTTCTGTCGTGAGAATCTGAAAAAAATCCAATGACCCCAAGCCGCCTCCTGGTAACTCTCGTAACCATAAGGGTAATTTCCGTAATGACCTTTTCTGAGTAGGCCAGGTGAATACCTCCTTGAATCGCGGGTGTAATCGAACTTCCTCCTTGTACAGACTCCACGCATCTCTTTCTGGATCGACATTTGTTCCCCATACAGCTGAATTAATTTGGTGAAACATATCCCAGGCCGCCTCGTCCACTTCTGCTGCGCCCAGTTCTTGTGCCCAATCTACCGGTTCTGATAAAACAACCTGCCATGGATCTTCATTTAGAAGCGGGATTGTTTTATTGTACTCCTCCATCTTCTCCTGCAGGTCGAAGTCTTTTGAACTGATACTTTCAGCCTCCCATTTGTCAACTTGAAAAGTGCAGACTTGTCGAAGTTTCGGTGGTTCTTTGTGCCATCCTGGTGTATTTGGTAAGCATATTGGTATGCATAACCTCCGTTGATCGGTGTCTAAAAAGCTTAACACTTCTCCCTTCTGACTTGATAACTCTAGCCGGATATTATGATCTGCAAGGAAAGGTCGCCCTATAACGGTATGTACTGATCCTTTAACAATAAAGAAGTTGGCCAGGTGAATGTGTCCTGGAAATACGCTGACGGGTATGTTCTCCGCAATCCCAATGATTGGTGTAAAATGTCCCCCAATCCCCTTCAACCGCATGAATATTTCTGTTGTTAAAAGTCCAAGTTGGTCTGCCAGACTGTCCGGGATGATGTTCATTTCCGCACCAGTATCCACCAAGGTCCTAATTTTCCGTTTATTTATGGTCATATCCACCATTCCCACTGGACATGCGTAAGTAAGCCCCGAATCTTGTCCTTCATTATCAATACTTGCGTTGGTTGCACAGTTGAATTTGACACTGTTCAAACCCCTTTCAACCAGGTCTTCTTCTGGTTGTACCGCATGCAAACTCTGCAAGAAATTTGGCGAGATCTTCAAGATTTCTTCTAAGGTGAGAGTGTACGACTGGCGATAAAATTTGGCTTTCAATTATTTATCCAATTTTCCAATTATCTCATCTTGTTTATCTGCTGTCTCCGTCCTAGTCTGCTTTTCTTTTGCCGGCGGAACTGGTCGGGTCTTAGCCTTAGTAGGTATAATAATCCGTTCTTCTTCCTCGTCGTCGTTGTCTTCAAGCCAAGATCCCGGAAAACTTTTTCTCCTTGCGGCTGTTTTCGGCGCCTCATCCTGAATATTTGATGATTGACCCTCCGTTCCTATAGGGTTGCTGGGAGCTGGTTGGCTACCAGAGGGTGCATTCTTCTCCTGTAGTCGCTGAGATTTCCGGAGTCCAAAACCTAGGTTGTTTTGTAGGTCACCTTCCTCCATGTTTACTTGTGGTGGAACCCAAGATCCCCATTCTTCAATTTCTGCCACCGCTGACGTTGATTCCTTCACGGCTTCCTTGGGTGGAGGATTTGAAGAAGTGCTTTGCTCTTCTGCAAACTTTCTGACTAATTCTCTAACAGATGAATCCTTGTCTAAGACAATTGCCTGCCGGTTTGGATAGTAGTAGGTTCCCTGAGACTTGTACACCTTCCGATCCTGCATATCTTGATTGAGGTATTCACACTGGGTGACCACATGTCTCTCCTTGCAGTAAAAACATTCCAAAGGGCCGTATCTTGGTCTGCTATCTGAGAGTCCTGGCGAAGATGGTCTGCTGATGTGTGGTGGTGCTTGACGATTCTGATATTCCAAGGCGGAAGTTAGCTTTGTAAGCTTCTCTTCTAAGTCTTCCTTGGTTGCTGGTTCCTGAATCTTGACCGTCTTTTTGACCTGCTCCTTAGGTTTGTACTCCTCGTCATCTCCGTCGAAATCCACGATTATCAAGGCAATTTCCACATATTTCTTAAGCTTCTCCAGATCCGGGACTATGTTTCTCCCGTCCTTTGTTGTCTGGAGTTGTTTGGCGTGGGCTAATTCCTTGGTGACTTCCTTCTTCAATTCCGTGGAGAGTGCCTTCCACAATGGGTTTCCGCTGTCCGGGTTAAGATTTTGGTACTCCATCCTTGTAAAGTAGTCCATAATTTCCTCGAATTCGCTGATAAATTTCTTGTATTCTAGTCTAGTGTTGATGCCACCATTTTCCTGGGCCTTGCGTATGAGTCTTGGTATAGAGTCTTCCTTGTAGCGTCTCAGGGGTGTTGCTCTTCCCCATTTCCTGATCAACTCTTTCTTTAAAAGCTCCCAATTTCCGGTTTCGTGTCCTTCCATCTGTTCTATAGCTTCACTGATTTTTCTATTACTGATGATGAAGGGTAATTGGAAAGCCACGTCTCTTCCGCCTGCCTTCTGTAACACCGCAACCTTCTCGACTCTTTTTATAAAAAGTTCCACCTCTGTTCCTTCGAAGTAGAGGTTAGTCTTTTTCGTGTCCAAAACTACTCCTCTCTGTTCATCCGGAAGTTTGATTTCTGTTCTGATCCTGGTTTGTTCAAACCCTGGTGATTGAATAGCTGAAGTAGGGATACTTTGCTCTCCCGCACCAATGGTTGTCTCCAATCCTGGTATCCTGCCGGTGTAAGGGGTTGACGTTCCAAATCTCAGGTTTTGTATTCTTGGAGATGGGGTTTCTGGTAAGGGTGGGCCACGGGGAGATGCTGCTTGACTGAAGAACGATTTCATCATTTCCTTCATTTCCGCCATAGATGATTCCATCCTTGATATCTTCTCTTGTTGTTCCTGGATTATCGCCGATTGGTCCATGCTGGAGTCCTCCGGATTCGCCATATTTCCCTGTTGCCGTTTTTCCCGTTCGATTTCCTCCACAACTTCCTCGAGTGAATGGATCTCCTGCCGTGTTAAACTACCGTTGTGCCAAGTCCTTCTAATCCTATTATCTGTAATTGTTTCCTCGCCTAAGTCCGTTTGGTTGTTGGTCTCCTCGCCTGTCCGCGCCAAAGTTGAATCCTCGTGCTCGTGATCCAGGGTTGAGTGTAAGTCTTGATGATATTGATGATACCTCGTTGATCTTCTGAAAGTTGTCGGCCACTGTTGGGACACCAGATGTGAGAACTCCTTTGGGATGGGTTGGCAGTCCTTGAGGGGGAAATAACAATAATGATATTTCACAACGATAATATTTACTGTTACGGGTGGTTTGAAAGACCTGCCCCTC